AACCTTAATCCTGCCTCCCCTTGATCACCTTTAGACAAATGCAGACCAAAAGCCCAGGCTCTTTAGCCTTTTCTCATGGGGAAGAGGCTTCAGCCCCTTAATCTATTCAAACTGTTGTGATATAAAGCACCGCATATGCGCGAGGGGAAGGCAAGAGGAAGAAAGTGTCAGGCGCTGAAATACTATGCAGGCATCTGGCAAAGGCATTTCCTGAGATGAGCCACTTGACTGTTTGATGAAGTGATTAATTATTACGAAAGAGAGCAGTTAGATGAATCTGCCATGTTGAAATGTTCTGCTCTTCTGGTGAATGGTTCTATGATATGGTAATCTCAACGAGTTCAGATGTCTAATCGTTGCACACTACTGTTATTCCAATAATGTAAGTGGTATTATCCTTGATTTACATTGGTGTAATTTAGAGAGTCGGCAGACAGCATGTGTATAATGATATCTGTGAATGGTGTTAGCAACCATCACTCCCATAATCATTATCAATCATTTTTGTATTGCAAACCCCTGTAAGAAATAATAAGCACAGGGGAGTGATTGGCTTGGAATCTTCCTCCATATTTTGTGGCTTTTACACATACCAAAGAAGTGTATCATACATCTTCTACAATGAAACATATAATCAAAGGGAGACTGCTCCACTAACAAGAACAAAAAAAGCCTCACTCATCCATGAATGATTAGATTAGATCCCCAGCTCTAGAAGAAGGTTCACAGCTGGTTCTGAATGGGGTGGCCCCCTCCCCACAAAAGACCAAGTATGCATTTTGGGAGTGTTCCTGGACCTGACACTGACTACAAAAGTCCAGGAGGTGTTTGCAGTCAGGTCTGTGTTTTATCAGCTTCATATGCCAGCTGTGGTCTGCCTTAGCCACAGTGACCCATGTCTTGGTCACCTCCATATTTGACTCCTGTAATGCTGTCTACTTGGGCTTGCTTTTCAGCATGATTCGGGAACTTCAGTTGGTTCAGAACAGGGGTAGGCAACCTAAGGCCCGGGGGCCGGATGCGGCCCGATCGCCTTCTAAATTCGGCCCACGGATGGTCCGGGAATCAGCATTTTTCACATGAGTAGAATGTGTCCTTTTATTTAAAATGCATCTCTGGGTTATTTGCGGGGCATAGGAATTTGTTCATTTCCCTCCCAAAAAATATAGACCGGCACCCCACATGGTCTGAGGGGCAGTGGAGCGGCCCATGGCTGAAAAAGGTTGCTGACTCCTGATTCAGAACATGGTCATCAGGCTTCTCATGAGGTTGAGGCAGCCAGTTTTAGTTACACATTCACTTCACCTGCTGCACCGGCTTCTGATGTGTTTCCAAGCCCATATAAAGTGCTGGTTTTAACCATTACAATCTTAACTGGTCTGAGCCCAAACTGTTTGTGGAGCTGCCTATGTCCATACCATCCTTCCCACCCAATGTCTTCTAAATGACAGGTAGTTGTTTATCTCTTTGACATTTGTTTGGAGGGTGTTCCACGGGCAGGCGCCACTACTGAAAAGGCCCTCTGCCTGGTTCCCTGAAACTTGGCTTCTCACAGTGAAGGAACCACCAGAAGGCCCTCGGTGCTGGATCTCAGTGCCCATATACAACACAGGCCCTCTTAGAATCATAGAATAGAATCATAGAATCATAGAGTTGGAAGAGACCACAAGGGCCATCGAGTCCAACCCCCTGCCAAGCAGGAAACACCATCAGAGCACTCCTGACATATGGTTGTCAAGCCTCTGCTTAAAGACCTCCAAAGAAGGAGACTCCACCACACTCCTTGGCAGCAAATTCCACTGTCGAACAGCTCTTACTGTTAGGAAGTTCTTCCTAATGTTTAGGTGGAATCTTCTTTCTTGTAATTTGGATCCATTGCTCCGTGTCCGCTTCTCTGGAGCAGCAGAAAACAACCTTTCTCCCTCCTCTATGTGACATCCTTTTATATATTTGAACATGGCTATCATATCACCCCTTAACCTCCTCTTCTCCAGGCTAAACATGCCCAGCTCCCTTAGCCGTTCCTCATAAGGCATCGTTTCCAGGCCTTTGACCATTTTGGTTGCCCTCCTCTGGACACGTTCCAGTTTGTCAGTGTCCTTCTTGAACTGTGGTGCCCAGAACTGGACACAGTACTCCAGGTGAGGTCTGACCAGAGCAGAATACAGTGGCACTATTACTTCCCTTGATCTAGATGCTATACTCCTATTGATGCAGCCCAGAATTGCATTGGCTTTTTTAGCTGCCGCGTCACACTGTTGGCTCATGTCAAGTTTGTGGTCAACAAAGACTCCTAGATCCTTTTCACATGTACTGCTCTCAAGCCAGGTGTCACCCATCTTGTATTTGTGCCTCTCATTTTTTTTTTGCCCAAGTGCAACACTTTACATTTCTCCCTGTTAAAATTCATCTTGTTTGTTTTGGCCCAGTTCTCTAATCTGTCAAGGTCGTTTTGAAGTGTGATCCTGTCCTCTGGGGTGTTAGCCACCCCTCCCAGTTTGGTGTCATCTGCAAATTTGATCAGGATGCCCTTGAGTCCATCATCCAAGTCGTTGATAAAGATGTTGAATAAGACCGGGCCCAAGACAGAACCCTGTGGCACCCCACTAGTCACTCTTCTCCAGGATGAAGAGGAACCATTGATGAGCACCCTTTGGGTTCGGTCAGTCAGCCAGTTACAGTCAGTCTTGGTGTACCCACCACTGAGATGAGCAACATGGATGGCCACAAGGGGTAGGGCTCTCTTTGTGGTGGCCCCATCATTCCCCATCATTTATATTCCTTTTTTAAATTAATGTTTTATTGGCTTGCTGAATATGTTTTATTGGCGACTTTTTTGAGGGAAATCTGATGGTTCTGACTTTTGTATTGTTGATTTCCACTTTTTGATGTCCTTATCCTGGAGAAAAGGAAGCAAGAAGCTTCAATCTCCCATAGTCCTAGTAATTATTTTCCCAGTTCTATGAAGCAAGGGAACAACCCCTTCCTTCTCTTCTCTTTCTTTCTATGTTGCTACCACAGCCCATCCATCTTGAGCTCTTTCACCTTTACCCTGTATTAATACTATCACTGTGTTCTCGCCCACATTGCCATTGCCAGTGCTCCCAATAACAGCTTGGGAAAGAGGGTGCATCCCAGGAGGCTGTTTAGAAGCATGTTATGGCATCATCTTTTTTGCATTTCTACTCATGCTCTGCACAAACCAGGAAAGGGTTCCGAGCACAATTCAAAGTGTTGGTGTTGACCTTTAAAGCCCTAAACGGCTTCGGTCCAGTATACCTGGAGCGTCTCCACCCCCATCATTCTACCCAGACACTGAGATCCAGCACCGAGGGCCTTCTGGCAGTTCCCTCACTGCGGGAAGCCAAGTTACAGGGAACCAGCTAGAGGGCCTTCTCAGTACTGGCGCCCTGTGGAATGCCCTCTCATCAGATGCCAAAGAGATAAACAACTACCTGATGTTTAGAAGACATCTGAAGGCAGCCCTGTTTAGGGAAATTTTTAATGACTGATGTTTTAATGTATTTTTAATCTCTGTTGGAAGCTGCCCAGTGTGTCTGGGGAAATCCAGCCAGATGGGCGGGGTACAAATAATAAATGATGATGATGATGATGATGATGATGCCTGGCTAGTACCTGACTTTAGGCAGTGATGGAGCTTCCACTACCAACTCAGGTCCTGGAGCAGAGGAGAATCAGAAGCTGCCTTATACTGAGTCAGATTATTGGACCATCTAGTTTAGTATTGTCTGCTTTGACTGCAGTGACTCTTCTGGGTTTCAGACAGGAGCTTTTCCCAGCCCTACCTGGAGACACCAGTGATTGAACCTGGAAACTCTTGCATTCAGGACAGATGCTCTGACACTGAACTATGGCCCTTCTCTCGCTTTGGAAAGCTAAGCATCTCAGATGCATTGCTGGCCTTCCTGCTTCCTGAAACCACTTCCCCTATATCTCTATACCTATTTTTCTTTAAGTTGTAGCCTGGCATTCACAGAACGTGACAAAAAATCCTGAGAACTGTAGTTCACCCCTCACAGAGCTACAATTCCCAGAACCCCTGACAAACCACAGCTCACATGATTTTTTGGGACGATTTGGTGCTTTAACTGTATGGTGCATATACAACCAAACAGGTAGAGTTGTTGGAAGTGGCATAAAAGTATACAGATCTGTTTCTGAATTTATATATCACTTACATTGCAATCCTATATATCTATACCCAGAAGTAAAACCTATCGTGTTCCATATGGCTCACGCCCAGGTATGTGATAATAGGACTATACCCTCAATATTCTTACACCAATTAGTAATAGATTTTGCTGACAAATTTATAAGTGGCTATTATACCTTTAAAAAGAGAAAGAAATATTTGTTCATCCATATAACGTGGATGCATGTATAATTAAAATTCTGTGTTTGCAGACTTCTATCCAATGATTTTTCTGGCGGAAAATGTCAGTAAATCTTTAGTTCTCAAGTGACAAATTGTGATGGGTGTTTTGTGTGTGTTTGTGTTCTTTTTTTAAAAAAAATTACAAAACAAATGCCACCTCAGTCAGTTCCATTTCCCCTAAGTTTTTTTGAAGTAACTGTTCCCTTAGAGATTCCATATAAAATATAATATAAAATATCACTCACTTCCCAATATTATTCATAGAATTCCTATTATAGAACATTGAGAAGCCAGATTACAAGCGTACAGGAATATTTTATGATCAGTTTGAAAATGTGGTTACTGCTGCTATAAATTAAGAAGCAAAATTACTCCCACATTGAGTATTGATATACAATGTATGGCAGGAAAAGTCCTTTGACATATGCTGTACAATGAATATGGAAGAGTTCCAAAAGTGCTGGTTTTTCTCTTTTTTTGCAAAGTTGGCTGATGACAAAAAACTGAAGTTGGAATCAGGTTGTAGGACACTAAGGGGTGACTATCCAGTAGACTTTCTTTGGAATAGGTACATCCAATCCCATGCTCAATGTGAGCATGATCTGGGATAGCTCAGTTGGTAGAGCATGAGACTCCTAATCTCAGGGTTGTGAGTTCAAAACCCATGTAGGGCCAAACATTCTTGCACTGCAGAGTGTTGGACTAGATGACCCTTGTGATCCATTCTAACTCTACAGTTCTGTGATATATGATATGATAAAGTTGCTAGCCCAGGTCCCACATTATCCAGATGTATAGGAATGTGGTGGTAGTGTTGAAATGCCAACTTTAGCATCTTCTTTCTCTTAAGGCATAACTAAATGAGACGCTTTGATATCTGTGATTGGACCATCCATTTAAAAATTAAATTGAATTAAACAAAATCTTGGGACTCTCTCCTTTATCAGATCAGGGTCATGGTTCTGGGGATGGGTTGTTCTTTCCCAAAGTTGCCATTTGAGCTGATTAGAGTAACCCCAGAAAGGTCCCTCAAACTTTAAAGTAAAGATTAAAGGAGAAATCATAAGCTTTGGAGTCTTTGGAAATAATCAGAAAGATAGCTACAGAACCGTTACAATTGTAATGAAAAATAGAGATAGGACTTTATCTAGGCTAGGGACAAGCCGATCTGCCAATTATAGTTTCTCTTGGTTTCTCATTTTTCCAGTCTTCAGTTTCCCAAATTCCCCCATCCGTTTGAGAGTTTCATTCTTTAAAGTCTTCATGAAAATTCGTCAGGATTTTAGTGCTAATTTCCCCTAATATACACATCTTTTGAAATAATGCTTAATGAAGAAGGACCGTAACATAAAATATCGCAGATATTTGGAGAAGCTACAGCAAATGACATCATGATCTGGGGGGTAATAAAGAACCTAAGCAGGTCACTACATACTGTCCCCATATATTCAATTTTAGACAGAGCTATCTATGGAGCATTGTTCAGAAGCCCTGGTTTGCCAGTGCCTAAAGGAGAGTAAGAGGCATTGAAAAATGCAAAAAAGTGAGCAAGAGCGATGTTGTTTTGACCATAGATGAATCTACTGTTTGAGCAGATGGTAAAAAAAAAGTGGCACATGCTAAAAACACCAGTACAGGCAATTAAAAGAGACAATGTGGATAAACAATGACAAATTAAGAGATGTGTGACAAAGTGTTTGTCAACAGATTTATATATTTTATTAAGACAACTTGTTCGTCTCAGATATTTTGTTAGAAAATCTGACCCTGTAACGTATTAGTGCACCTTTGAAGTCCATCTTTCCCATAGTTAGGCAGAACACATGTCATAGTTTCGGATAATGGTTCTCACTTTCTTGTGCATGAACTGCTTTTTTGTTTTTTAAAAACAGTAACTATGGCTTTTTAAAGGGCACATCAAAACCAAGCTACATACAATTAAATGGTCTTGTAGAAAATGATGGTGAAGGAAGTTGGTACAGAAAGCTAGAGATTTTGGGGCATCCAGCATGGGTGAAAATATTTCCTGCCTAGGAAATCTTCAACTAAATGATTGTTCCACACGTAAAAATGAGCTCTGCTTTTAAATTGCTTTTGATTTGCTCGGAAAGATAAATACTGGATACATAGAAAAAAGGATAAAAAGAACTGAAAGCTGTATTTTTCAATAAGACTCTGAACCCCAACAATAATGTATGTGTGCAAATAGTGCATGCTCAAAACCAAGAGAGAAGCTGGAGAGGTAGCTTCATATTCATATGAAGTGATAATGGCTTGCAGTCTTATTTTTAATGTAAAAGAAGACATTTTCAAAGTATTGCAGCAAGGGAGGAAAATGAGGAAATACAAATTGTAAATAAATCAACAAATCAGAAAGGAGCCCAGACAGGAGTATCTCAACAGGTCATCCAGCAGAGCAAACAGATTGCAGCATCAACTCATGTAGAGACCGATGGAGGGCCACCTGGATCAGATGTGAGGAGTTCTGCACTGAATCACTGAACAATATAAAAACATGCTTTATTTTATGATTGAGTACTAGTTTTCCTACTGATGTGCAATAACTGTCAGCCATTCCTTTTAAATGTTGCAAGTCACCCACTTGTTGTAAGATATGTTGCCCAGGCAGGCACATTCTATAACCTGTGAGAGCAAGACAGGACAAAACTTTACTGATGATCAGAGGCAGGCAGGGTTGGCATGGCATTAGGGCAAGGATCAATTCCGCATTCCACTCTCCCCATGCTGATGGAATAGCACTCCATCAGCATTGAGAAAACCCCCACCACCCTCCTTGAACCCCATTGTGGTGCAAGCCAAGCATCCAGCATCTCACCGGGTGACCCGAGTGAGAGATTCGAGCCAGGCAAAGGTCTTAGGGTATACCACAGCTAGCACCTCCTGGCCCCTCGCAGGGACCCACTGCTGGAGGAAGAGGAGTGCGGGGGGACCGCCTCGCCCCAGCAGCGTGATCCCAGCAGAGTGCCATCGCTGCTGCCCCCCTTGTCCGGGCTGGGCGCCCTGCCCCCAGGACGCACGCCGGCCCCACCCCAGCCTGCTGTCTGCCCCCCCGGTGCCGGAGCATGAAGCTCCGCCACTGTAGGGACCCCCTTCACTATGCCGGTCTTGTCCTATGCCATTTCCACCCAAATAAACAACGTTCAACAAAACACCTAACATAAGTACTGCTTACTGCAATGGGGAGAAAGTTGGTGGAAGGAAAACGAACCAAGGTACCAGTTAAGTTTGAGAGGGAAGAAAATCTTTTCCAGCACTGTCAACTAGAGGCCCAAGTAGCTCAGTAAGGCTCTAACCTGAGGGTAACAAGCTCATGGGGTGTAATGGCCCTAAACCCTCACGGGTGAAGCCTTTTAAAAGCATCCACCTACGCTCCCTCTCATGACATCCAGAGGGATGATCTGATCTTGTGAGAGCACAACAAGGAGAAACAACTCTGCCTCGTCACCATTTTCCAGGCTACACACCACCAGGCAAAAGTTGTCCCGCGAACAGAACAAAGCTTAGGAAACAAGACCATATTCTAACTGCTCATAGCCAGCATATCAATTCAGACAAATGTTATGGCATTCTATCTATCATCTATCTCATCTGTCATCTATCATCTATCTCTATCTATCTATCTATCTATCTATCTATCTATCTATCATCTATCTATCTATCTATATCTATCTATCTCTATATCTAGCTATCATCTATCTGTCATCTATCTAATTTTATACCACCCTTTATCGACAGATCTCAAAGCAGTTCATAACATAAAAATACAATATGAAAACACCAAATAAATGGTAAAAACAAGAACTAAAAACATATCAATAACCCCTCTCCCCCCACTCCCTCCTACAAACATTTAAAAGGGGCATAAGATGTTAATCAGCCGAAGGCCTGGAATGTTTTTGCATGGTGCCTAAAGGTATAGAATGAAGGCGCCAGGCAAACCTCCCTGGGGAGAGAATTTCACAAACAGGGAGCCACTGCAGAAAAGGCCCATTCTTGTGTTGTTGTTGTTTAGTTATTTAGTCGTGTCCGACTCTTCCTGACCCCATGGACCAGAGCATGTCAGGCACTCCTGTCTTCCACTGCCTCCCGTAGTTTGGTCAAATTCATGTTGGTAGCTTCAAGAACACTGTCCAACCATCTCGTCCTCTGTCGTCCCCTTCTCCTTGTGCCCTCCATTTTTCCCAACATCAGGGTCTTTTCCAGGGAGTCTTCTCTTCTCATGAGGTGGCCAAAGTATTGGAGCCTCAGCTTCACGATCTGTCCTTCCAGTGAGCACTCAGGGCTGATTTCCTTAAGAATGGAGAGGTTTGATCTTCTTGCAGTCCATGGGACTCTCAAGAGTCTCCTCCAGCACCATAATTCAAAAGCATAAATTCTTCAGTGATCAGCCTTCTTTATAGTTCAGCTCTCACTTCCATACATCACTACTGGGAAAACCATAGCTTTAACTATATGGACCTTTGTTGGCAAGGTGATGTCTTGTGTTACCATCCTCCAGACCTCTTGTGGAGGAGCCACATGAAGAAGGGCCTCAGAGGATGATTTCAGAGTCTGGATATGGAGAGAGGTGGTCCTTGAGGTATCGTGGTCCTGAGCCGTTTAAGGTCCTCTAGTAAGTCAGCCACCCACAGTGTGTATAATCTTCTTACTACAAGCATTGAGCTGGCACACCGGAGCACCTTCTTTTCACATTCCACTTTAGTCCTTTGGATGCCACAAACAAGGTGTTGCAACCTCAAGTTCCAACACTTGAGCTTTGCAGCCCAAATTCAGATGTTTTAAGAAGTCCCACCCTTTGTCCCATCTGTCTTGAACTTTATGCAGACAAAATCCTAGCCTGTGGAATCCTCTTTAGATTCCTCGTTTAGTATGAAATTTGACATTTATTTTTTTTTAAATGCAATTTATTGAGCATATGAAATGTTTTTCTGCTTTACTTTTCTGGCCACTGCACCAGTAGTTTGAAACACTTTGTGTGTGTTTTTAAACAAGCCTTTTAAGCCCATTTTGTTGAGAAACCACAACAGAATAAACACTAAGCAAACATAGGCAAGCAGCTTTTATTTATTTTGGAAAGAAAACAGCCCATTCATTTGCAAAAAATCATCAGTGATGCTGCAATATCCTGCCTTGTCTGCACATAAATTGTCTATTTAACTAATTTGGCCATAGAGCCAAAGCTACATTTGTAATATGATCTATTGATTTGCAATGTGGTTAGCAACTGGGTGTCACTTTAAGAAGAAGAAGATAAAATAGGCTCTCAGCAAGATCCCCCAGTATAAAACAAGAGAGGCAAGGGAAGAGTATATTGTATGCTTCTGCAGGAACTTACTGTGGTGTGTGTGTGTGTGTGTGTGTGTGTATGAGAGAGAGAGAGAGAGAGAGAGAGAGAGAGAGAGAGGTGTAAATGTTATAGTTGGTAGAATCATGCAGGGGAGAAGCAAGCAACAATGGTTGCTACACCTCACATTTTCCCCTGGCTGCCCTCTAAGATTCACTCAGAGATATCCACAAGCCTTCTGTAAACCCTGAAGCTTACATGTGCTTGTTGTACCCTTGACTTTTGCCCTCCACTTGTTCCTCTTGGATTAAGCTTGCCCAGGGATTTCCACTTGTGCCAGTATAGCTTACGCCAGCCAAAATATTAAAAA